ATACATTTCTATGCTGATGACACAGTTGTTTATTGTCGAGCTAAAACTGTTGCTAAGGCTTTCCAGCTTTTGAAATCTGCATTCAACAACATCCAGACTGATTTGTTTCGCCTCAAACTTGTCCTAAATGCCGAAAAAACCAAAGGGATGCTTTTTTCAAACAGGAAGTTGGTCCCAGCAGTTCTTCCTCCGATTTTATCCTCAAATGGTGTCCCCATTGAGTTTGTTGATTCCTATAAATATTTGGGTATCTTGGTCGACTCACATCTCTCTTTTAAGCTCCATGTGGAAAACTTGGTAAAGAAACTGAAAGTTAAACTGGGTTTCTTTTTCAGAAACAGATCCTGTCTAACTCTGAATGTTAGGAAACACCTTGTATCTGTGACTTTCCTTCCCTCAATTGATTACGGTGACATTATTTACATGAACGCTCCTACAAGAACCCTGCAGATGTTGGATGCTGTAGATGTTGGATGCTGCAGATGTTGGATGCTGCCTATCATGGTGCACTAAGATTCATAACTGGCTGTGATTATCGTACCCACCACTGCACCCAGTATCCACTGGTTAACTGGTCACCATTAACTTCACACAGACTCTCTCACTGGTACATTTTCATCTTTAAATCACTTCCTGGTCTGCTGCCTTCATACATCTCCTCCTACATGTCTCTGTGTGAGTGCAGCTACAGCGTGCGCTCTCAGGACATCATTACCTGCAGTGTTCCCTCAGTGAGGACTGAACTAGACAAAAGGGCCTTCTCCTACTCCGCTCCTGTTTCCTGGAATATCTTGTAAAAAGACCTGAAGCTCTCGACCTTTGACCTCTCTAAGTGGCTTTAAGAATCTGTTGGACTCCTGGCAGGGACCAATGCAGACATGTTCCTGTTTTTAGTTTTATACATTTGTCTTGGAATCTAACTGTTTTTTTTTTGTTTTTTTTTGTTACCTTTTCCTTTTAGCCATCTTATTTGTAAAAAAAAAAAACCCTGCAGTATGACTTTTTATAACTGTTTATTGTTGTTGCTGTTGTCCATTGTTGTCATCATTCTTTGTTAAACCAGGTCTCTCTTGTAAATGAGTCCTCGAGGCTCAATGGGATTTACCTGTAGAAATAAAGGTTGATTGATTGATTGATTTGTATTTTGCTTTGTGTGTTACCTGTTGTTCTGTCTGTACAGCACTTTGGTTGGGCTTGTAGCTGTTTTAAGTGCTTTATAAATAAAATTGTATGGTATGGTATGTGGGCAACACGGTGGCGCAACTGGTAGAGCTGCTGCCTCTCAGCGAGCAGGTCCCTGGTTCAAACCCCGGTCCAGGGGCCTTTCTGGGTGGAGTTTGCATGTTCTCTCCGTGCATGCGTGGGTTTTCTCCGGGTGCTCCGGTTTCCTCCCACAGTCCAAAAACATGCATGTTAGGCTGATTGGTAACTCTAAATTGTCCCTAGGTGTGAGTGAGAGAGTGAATGGTTGTTTGTCTCGTTTGTCTCTATGTGGCCTTGTGATGGACTTGCGACCCATCCAGGGTGTACCCCGCCCCTCGCACAGTGATTGCTGGACATGGGCACCAGCGACCCCCGTGACCCAAAATGGAATAAACGGGTAAAGATAATGGATGGATGGATGGTATGGTATGTTGCTGCTGATCTGTTTCATGTTGCTGTTGATCTGTTTCATGTTGCTGCTGATCTGTTTCATGTTGCTGCTGATCTGTTTCAATGTTGATGTGTTCATGCGTGCACATCTGCTCACAGACTCATGTTCATGTTTGTGCTGATGTTCAATGTTTTATGTTATGAGTGCTTAGTGTATATTTAGTTGATGTTTTTCTTAGTTCATATCTTAGATGTTATTACTGTTTTTCTTAGACATTTTATTGTTGGATGTAACTGGGACCCTGTGTACATAATTTCGCTCCACCACATGTACCACATGAGGTGCGAATGACAATAAAGAAACTCTGACTCTGACATTAGAGGTGATGACATCATCTACCTGCTGCACAGACACACACCTGGACAGGGCAGGCAGCCTGTCAGAGTCATGTTCTTTGACGTCTCCAGTGCTTTGAACACCATCAGACCTTCTTTACTCTGCAGAAGCTCCTGGACATGCAGGTGAAGGACTCTCTGGTCACCTGGATCAGACTCCCTCACAGGTCGACCATAGTATGTGAGGCTGCAGAACACCACCTCGGATACCATACTGAGCAGCACAGGGGCTCCTCAGGGCACGGTCCTCTCACCGTTTCTGTTCCTCTACACCTTGGACTTCAGGTCCAACTCACAATCTTGCATCTGTAAAAGTTCTGGATGAGCTGCCATTGTGGGCTGCATCACTGGTGACCAGGAAGCTGAATACAGAGGTGTGGTGGACAGAACCAGCTGCAGATCAACGCTGGAAAAACTAAAGACCTGCAGGTGGACTACAGGAAAAAGATCAGCCCCCCCCCCCCCCCCCCAAAAAAAAAAACTCTCTCAACATCAAGGGTACTAAGGTGGACACTGTGGACTGCTCAGTGTACCTGGGATTCACTAGACCAGGGGTCTGCAACCTGTGGCTCTGGAGCCACATGCGGCTCTTTAAAGCTTTGACCAAAAACTGACATCAAACTGAATGTTGTTGGTTATAACAACTAATAAAAGGACTAGTTTGGTTATAACAACTAATAAAAGGACTAGTTTGGTTATAGCAACTAATAAAATGACTAGTTTGGTTATAACAACTAATAAAATGACTAGTTTGGTTATAACAACTAATAAAAGGACTAGTTTGGTTATAACAACTAATAAAATGACTAGCTGGGCTATAACAACTAATAAAATATCTACAAACCGGTTTCCAAAAAAGTTGGGACACTAAACAAACTGTGAATAAAAAGTGACTGCAATGATGTGGAGGTGCCAACATCTAATATTTTATTCAGAATAGAACACAAATCACAGATCAAAAGTTTAAACTGAGAGAATGTTTCATTTTAAGGGAAAAATCTGTTGTTTCCAAATTTCATGGCGTCAACAAATCCCAAAAAAGTTGGGACAAGTCCATTTTTCCCACTGTGTGGCATCCCCCCTTCTTCTTACAACACTCAACAGACGTCTGGGGACAGAGGAGACCAGTTTCTCCAGTTTAGAAATAGGAATGCTCTCCCATTCATGTCTAATACAGGCCTCTAACTGTTCAATCGTCTTGGGCCTTCTTTGTGGCACCTTCCTCTTTATGATGCACCAAATGTTCTCTGTAGGTGAAAGATCTGGACTGCAGGCTGGACATTTCAGTACCTGGATCCTTCTCCTACGTAGCCATGATGTTGTGATTGCTGCAGAATGTGGTCTGGCATTATGGTGTTGAAAAATGCAGGGTCTTCCCTGAAAGAGATGACGTCTAGATGGGAGCACATGTTGTTCTAGAACCTGAACATAGTTCTCTGCATTAATGGTGCCTTTCCAGACATGCAAGCTGCCCATGCCACAAGCACTCATGCAACCCCATACCATCAGTGATGCAGGCTTCTGAACGGAGCGTTGATAACAACTTGGGCTATCCTTGTCCTCTCTGGTCCGGATGACATGGCGTCCCAGTGTTCCATAAAGAACTTCAAATCGTGACTCATCTGACCACAGAACAGTCTTCCATTTTGCCACACTCCATTTTAAATGACCCCTGGCCCAGTGCAAACGTCTGAGCTTGTGGAGCTTGCTTATGATGCAGGCATCTATGTTATATTACGAATAAAATATTGACATTTGCCATCTCCACATCATTGCATTCAGTTTTTATTCACACTTTGTTTAGTGTCCCAACTTTTTTGGAATCCAGTTTGTAACATAGATGACGTATCAAACGTTTAATCTGAGTAAATGTAACATTTTAAAAGAAAAATATGTAGATTCAAAATTTCACAGTTGGTCTCCTCTGTCCCCAGACGTCTGTTGAGTGTTGGAAGAAGAAGG